AACTTCGAATTGGTTACTTCAACACAATTTTCTCTAATCAATCACTTCTAGTGTGAATATTTATTTATTTATATTAAATGGCAGGCGTCTTGATGGTTATCATTAGCCCTTTAGTTGACTTCAGACTTCATAGAGGGGAAGGAACATCAAATTGAAAAAGTCGAGAGGGGAGAACAGAAGAGTGTTTCAAAGATGTAAGAGACAAACACAAAGGTAGAAAAAAGGTGAGATGAGTACCGTGAAGGGATCGAATATGGCATGGAGTGAGGTGATGGTAATGTAAAGTGAGAAGTCAACTGCCAATTAATAGACTTTTTGCCGTATGAATATACGTTGCCCAGGGTGCACCACGTGGAGGTAAGTCTATCGCACACCCCAATCACTTCTAGTGTGAATATCATTCACGCACCTGGCTATGAGTCACTTATGCGGATATTACAACGTCTAAAGTCACACACGACTTTATCTCTTCTTCCCTTTCAGCCACTTTAGTATTTTCTGGTCCTTATCAAGATAAAATATGCTTACTACTGTCTTGTCTTCAACCCATCTTTCATGTATCGAAAATCACGGGAAATAAGATATTTGAAACCTCAGATGGACTCCACCTCTTTTCAGTCAGTCATTATTGCCTTCGGATTCACTGTAGTCATTTACAACCTCAATCTTGAGATTCAAGTACACCCATTGCTAAAAACACTAACTCACCTTAGCAAAAATGTCTACACTTTAACTGCTTGGATTGAATGGATTCAATCTAGACCTAGGGATCTGTGGCGATATGACGCATACAACAACATGCGATTTAAGAGTGCATGTAGTAACCCAAACAGTGGCCAATGCCTCCGAGAAGACATCGTCTACTGGACATTTTGATGTCATACGAAGAAAATAATCGCTTATTCCTTCTGGTTCACACCAATTCGTAGACACATACCCTTCTTTATCTAATGGAAATCAGGGTTAACTAGAGGAGACAGTTCGAGCACCTAAGCAAAAAAACAACGAAATGTTCCAATTTCATAAAATTTCCTTCCGCTTTCGTAAATAAAGGAAAAGATTTATCTGCAAAGATTGCTAATATTAACGTGCAAGGTACTTTTGTTTAAAGAGAGGTTGTGATACAAAACAATTGCATCACTGCATAGAACATACTTAATAATATAAATTAATTTACCCAAATTCGGAATCATCTCTGGGTGATCATCAACCAAGTTATTAAGGAGGGCAGTCATTCTCATCTGAAAAAAAAAATATTTTTAGAGGTCAAAGAACTTTCCTATTTATCTTATGAAAATCATTGAAGGAAATTAAAAGTATTGTCTCTTACCCGATAGATTTCCGGAACAAAATCTTCCAAATTCTACACGCATTAAAAGTAAGATAGGAGATTAGCTTGAAATATAAAACATTACAAACTAGTATTAATGGCTTAACTTCATAGCTGAAGAGACTAAATACGATCCCAATTTAACCAATTTTTGAAGCATAGCTATCAGTTTCCTTTCTTCTTCCTCCACCTCGTAAAGTGAACTTGATCGTAAAGGTTCCAATTTTAATTTCGTCATATCAAAGGTGCGAAAAATGCGGGTGGAAATATTATAGACTGTGCATAAAATTTTACTTCTAATAATAGGTACAGAGTTTGGATCTTTCACCATCGTTCGAATAACTTCATCATCACTCCAGGTTTCCGACGCTTCTTCTTCCTCTTCTTCGTTGCTGATATTATAACTTTTCAAAGAATTGCCAGTGGTAAGGGTTTGATTTAAGATAAGTTCGGATTCCGAAAGACCCCTCAGCACAGACATGAGACTTTTAATGGGAGCTTCAAGAATGTATAGCATGAACCCAGGATAAACTATGAGCAATCCAGTTATATTATATGGCCGTTTAAATTGCGAAATCATGTTCAGGATAAATTCAACAAACATTATATTACTAAACCTTACCTGAAGCAATTTGATAATCTTTTATGTGTGGTGCAATCTTACTAAGTATCGTAATAGAGTGAAAAATTTCATCCTAATGTTTAGAATGAGTTGATTAACTCGAATTTACTCGTGGATTGACAGTATATGTTCCATCAATTTCGTCATAAAGTGTTTTTTGAAGTCTGCCATAATCCATTATATAGTTATTGAAAATAGTCGGCATTATAGCCATAGAGACCATGTTTGTAAACAATACCTTCGTGCATTAAACATAAAAACTTTTTTCATATTTAATAGTATAAAACATAAAGTACCAATTTTCTTTTTTCGCGTAAATAATCCTATGATTGATTTAATGCAAACTGTAAACCTTCTTATTGACTTTTTTAATTTATTCAATAATGGCAACCTATAAAAAACAAAACAACAAAATAAATTTTACGAATTTGATAAATGCAGCATTCAATAAATTATTCTCAATCAAGTTCATATTTCCAGCAAAGACCTGCAAATCCAACGTACTCCAAAATAATAAGCAAATTAAAATTACTCAATTTTAATAGACACAACAATTCAAATGCTCAAGTAGAAAGTAATTATTTATATATTAGTTGCTTTGAAGCTATGATAACAAGTAATTAGTCTATTCGTTTAATTAACTAGTAAATGAATTATGACCTAGTGCAAAATCAAGTGTCAAAAATCCTAATAGAGCCGGTATGGCAAAGGCATCGATGCTTATGCATCAAAAATTTTAGAAAATTTACTATCCAACTTCTGGTGGATAAATAAGTTGAATATAAAATCTTAAACTATAGCAATTGCGGCTTTATAAGTAAATGAAAATTAATTTCACTTATGGTAAATGGTATAAAAGATATCATCGCAATTATTTCGATGCTGCACTCGAATATCAACACTGTCCAAGTCTACTAAGGAAGAACATAATAAAAGTTCGTCATGAATATAATCATAAGGTTATTAAAATTTGTGTATATATGTATGTATATAATATTCAAAAACTTAATTCAATAGTCTAGAAAAGACAAATACATTGAAATAATTTCATCCACGTTTCTTCAAATATTATTTATTTATATGAAGCCAATTTTTTTAATATTCTCGATCAGCCAGGCTTATAAGTTTTAACCTGATATCTAGACTAGTCGATCCATAAAAATCTTCGAATTTTCAAATAGTGAATTTATGTAATTTTAATGACCAGTTTTGCGCTTATGACGGAAATGGGAAAGGTAACGTTGTACATAACCATTTGAAGACGTGGGTCATATATAAATCTAGCATCTTCTATAAAAAATATTTGAGATAGATGCAACACATCAATCATTCTCTCTACAGATCACTGAGTATCAACATTAATAAATTTCATTTAAAGTTAAATGTGTGCGGTTTATCCCATTATTTTCACAAATAAGTTAAACAAAGTGACGTGAATGGGCATCATATGTGCGCCGCCAATTAAACACAAATTCGATGAAAATACACGAATCTTCATAATATGTGCAATCAATTTTATAAAAACGTTTATGTCATTTAAAATTAAAGAACGCAGGGAATATCGTAATTTAGCCAACCGTTCCTCTAAAATCCATTTCGGTAAGGTATAGTGGTAAGTTAAATGAACCTTTAATTAATTACTGATAGAAATAAAATAGGGATGTGCAAGGTGGAATAACACGGAATTAGATATCTTCAAGAAATCCACCATTATCAGAGAGAATAGGTTAACCTTGTAACTGGATGTTCCATATAATATTACAGAAGCTTTAAACTTATTATTTCTATGAGACCAATGCGTGAGATCGATGTCACTTAAGTAATTATAGGAACGTGGTATACAGATTTAGCTGATTAAAAAATATGGAAATGATAATTTAAACGTTTAAAATGACGCCATCTAAATTCAATAAACTAATCAGAAAATGTTTGTCATGTCAAAAATTGAATTCGAAAAATGATGATATTCATATTTAGCTCTAATTGAAATCTAAATCACTTTTAAATACATTTTTAAAATTAATAAAGCTTTTTAATCTTAGAATTTCTTAAATTATACAAGTTATTGTATGATTGCAAAAATGACATTCTTGTTTTGATGCATAAAGGTCTATTTTCAGGTTAATCGCATATCCAAAATCTGTGAACCCTTCAAAGCTTCTAATAAATCTTGAATTTATTCTGGACGATTATATCAAAGTAAGTAAGTGCGTTTTTTTAAGCCAAAACATTTAAATGTCACAATCTAATCGCTCTCTTATTGGTGTCTGGCGGTTTGTAATGCAATTAAGAGCTTTTAGAAATTATTTTTTTATTTCAGAATTTATATTTTCGAAACATTTATTTCCAATTTATATGTGTGATTTTATCAAATTTTAATTGTGACTTATTCCCTGCTATTTTTCTCGCTTGCTTTATACTCAAATTTATCTATTAATATAAACCTACGTAAATTTGTGTTTGCTTTAGTTACTCGCTTTTAGTTTGTGTGCAAAGCATTTCATTCATTGTTGTAATTTCTTTTCATCTTCGTTATTTTTGAGTTTATAATGCTCCCACTTGTTCATTCAACCTGTTATTTGATTTGTCAAGTTCAGTCATTTCTATGTAGCTGGAACTCTTATAATCGTTCATAAAACACCTATAGCTACCATCATTTATTTATTTATTTCAAATGGCAGGCGTTATGATAGGTATCATTAGCCCTTTAGTTGACTTCGGGCTTCACAGAAAGGAAGAGGAACATCAAAGTGGCAAAAAGTCGAGAGGGGGAACAGAATAATGATTCACAGTCGTAAAAAGAGACAGACACAAAGGTAGAAAAAAGGTGAGGTGAATACTGTGGAATTATTCGAATATGAAATGCAATGGGATCATGGTTGTTTGAAGTCCGAAGTCAACTGCCGATTTATAGACTTTTTTACCGTATGAGTATACGTTGCCCAGTGTGCACCACGTGGAGGTAAGTCTATCGCACACCCCATAGTTACCATCATAGGAATGTTGGAATTTCTTTAGTTCTCCTTATCGATATCTAGTTGTTGGTAACACTTATTCACCGTCTGTTTATCTCCATTACTATGATAATTTGGTATATGGAAAGTTTTTTTCATCTTGACTCCATATTATTATCTCCAACTTATGTATATAAACTGAATTTCCCATTTCTGCAGTTTTTATAGCTTTTATTTTACGCAATTGGATTTACTAACTTGAACATTTTTTATGTATTAATACATCATCAGGTTAAGCATTTAACTCCCATTAATGTTATCTTGAGGTGTTTCTAAATGTTTGCTTATTTGGAAATCACTACATAGATTATGTTAATTGGACAATACTTGTTTTGATTGACAGCCGGGTTTTAAACGCTTTGTTGTCAATCACTCGTATTTGCCTTCCTTCTCTTACAATTACGCGCATACACGGTATAATTACACACACGCACACTAATTCACACACAAGTAATTGTCTTAATTGTTGGCACAATCCCTTACCTACAATTATAACTCAAGTCGAAGAAATTGCTCCTACTATTACTCCTTCTAAGGCTTTCTTGCACACACAAATTCTCCGAAAATTCGCACTGTAATGGCCCAGTTGAAATACGCGTGTGTAATGCTGACTAATCATTAAGTTGCGGCAGCAGCGCCACCATGCGCGCACTTTATTTGGCCAATGACTCGTGGCCGGACGCTCCTCTCATTGGTTAGTTGTGAGTGCGCACGTGTATGATATTGATGCTTACTAAGTGGCTAAGTGGCCAGAAAACTATCCTGGTAGGTATCTTTTTCTCTAGGTCTCTCCCCTTCTTCCAAGACAAATGACTAATTTACTACACACATGCAGAGCTGTCATTCGACAAATATGCAAAAATCATGCCATCTCACTTGTCCTTACTTCATTTCTTTTTTGGTTTCATTTTGGAATCAGGTTTAATGTCAACTATTTTACGTTGTTAGTGATCTGTTTATTGTTGAGTATTTAGTCAAATTTGACATTTAGTTTGTTTTGAATGTGAGTTCAAGAGAGGGAGTGCAAAATTCAGTGTTTTTTAGTAATTTTAAATTATACCTTCCGACAAATTCAGGTAAATAGTGAAATAATTTTTTCCTGTAATCTTGGTCTAACTTATTAGAGATCATTGAGCTCAGTTAGAAATTAGCTTTAAACAAGATTTTGATTGGGAAGTTGTTCCGGGTGCTGATTTTCCTTTGATTAACGGTCATTAATGTCCGATTCACGTTTCAAACATATTAGCCTTAATTCCTTCCTTGCAAGTCAAATTGGTCAAATGATTAGGTAAGATTCGTTTTAAAGTGGGCAATGTATATCTGTCAATAATTAATCAATTAAATGGTATTGTTTTTTTTAAGTTTTCAATTACATGACATAGTAGCTATTTCTGCATTCATATTTTCCCCAATTAGTTCGAATTGTTGATGACATCAGAAATATGTACAAGCCCCCCCCCCTTCCCCAACTAAACGGCCTTATAAGGTTTAAATCTTGGTGGTTATTCCACCTGGTTTATCTTTTTCTGAAAAGCTCTTATACCCACCTATTCATATCTCACAATTGTTTGAATTCTTTCTTTGATTTTCCCGACTTAGTTGAAGAAGGGTGATTGTGGGTACACTTATTAGTATATGTAAGTCCTGAATTATCCTGAAGGTTGGTTTCGTTTCTCCAAAAAGCTTTTACTAGATACCGTTCTTTTTATTTCCTCAGGTGAAGTCTTCTTACAGCAAGAGGCTTTAATTTTTGAAAGGCCTATATTTTGGCAGGATATTTTGCTCATTGCTTGGGCTTGATCATCTCATTGAACAGAGCTTTTGTATCATCATTATCAGCATCACCATCTATTTTTACTTTTTCATAAGCTGTAGAATGAGCGTGGCTGTCGTCTGCTCGGCCACACTCGTTAAATCTCGTTGTAGGGACTTTTTAATTTTTTCTAAAAATCTATGCAGACATTACTAGTCATTAGTGAGTTCAAGTAGTAGGAGTTCCCCACAGCTAGTGTCTCAACAATTTTCACCTATATTTTGTAATCCATTCTAATATTATTTACATACCGGTAAGTATGCTTTATTGCTGTGTTAATACTAAAGCAACAGCAGAAAGTGGTGCAGTGGTTCATGTACTAGTCTCATGTTTGATGACATCGGGTTTCCCGCCATTGAGCGGGGGTGGGGGGGGGGGGGGGGGGGGGGTCTATCTTGTTACTCTTCTACCCAAAGTGAAGGTTGGTTAAAGGCTGTCTTGAATGGATATTCTAATCATGGCAAACTAGATAATGTGAGCTATATATGCTGATATTTTATTAGTAGTTATGTACGCGTCTATTAGGTCGAAACCATTTGTGAAAACCCAGTCACTTAATTTGTGACAGAATGGGAGTTTCTTTCCAAAATAATTGTTTCAAAACGCCTCTTTCAATAGGCTGTAAATTAATAAGTCACTTTTACGATTGTCTTAAAGCTGAAAACTATTATTATTATATCAAATGGCAGGCGTTTTGACTGTTATCATTAGCTCTTTAGTTGACTTCAGTTTTCACAGAGGGGAAGGAACATCAAAGTGTAAAAAATTCAAGAGGGGGGGGGGGAACAGAAGAATGTATCAAAGACGAAGGTAGGTAAGGTGGAAAAAAGGTGGGATGAGTACTGTGAAGTAGTCGAATATGACATACAGTGGGGTCATGGTAGTTTGAAGTCAACTGCCAGTTAATAGACTTTTTTGCCGTATGAGTATACGTTGCCCAGGGTGCACCACGTGGAGGTAAGTCTATCGCACACCCCTCGGTGGAAACATGGAGCACCGATTTGTTTGGATTTGTTAAAGCTGAAGTTAAGTTACTTTACTGATAGCAGGTGAGTTTGGTAAACGTAATTTCCACCTTCGGGAAATACATCGATGGTTTAGTGGTCAATGTGGGCGCTTGGGGTCACAAAATTGACCCCTAAAAGGTTAAACACATTTGTCCTCTAGTTAATAACATATATGGGTTTTAAAACCCTTTTACCCCACTTTAGATAGGCTTTAAATGGTGGAATGCCTAGTAGTAGTTATAGCAACTGAAAAAGGGCCTCGTTAAATTCCTTTAAGCATAATAGAATCATTATTACTTTTTAGAATAGAGTTTATACCAGATCCAACCATATTTATATGAATGGCACTACACACTGGCACCATGGGTGGCCTTGGCCAAGTAAATGGTTCCCTGCTTGAAGCAAACTCTAATGTTGGGGGCCCAGACCCATCTCAGGCTCCACCTACTGTCTCCGCCCAATCTCAACAGCCACCACCGTCGGGTTTCATGAAATATGCGGCCCCTTTTGGTGCACCTCATCAAGGTCATACTAACCCTGGTGGTGACCCATATGCTAATGGGGGTGGTGGCGGGATGATGCCGACGGCTTATAGTGAGGAGAGTGGTCAGCCACAGCCTCCACAGCTTCAGCCCCCTCCCAACATCTCACCAAACACAACTCAACAACAGCAACCTCCAACGGCAGCAACACCAAATACTATGCAACAGCAACAGCAATTTGTTCAGAGCAATCAACAACAACAACGTATGATACATCCTCCTCCTCCTCCCACAGCTATTGATCCAAGTGAGTCCGTCCTCCTGTCTGTCTAGACTAGATTGTCAGTCGTGCTCGTGTGTCCGCGTGTTTTCCACTTTGTCCAATTTTAAGGTTAATTCCTGAGTTTGGGTATTAGAGAGTTACTGTAAATCAAACAGACGACAAAATCAGCTGATACGAGACGACCACTCGATCATGAATTGCAATTGTTAATCAGGCCAACAGAGAAATAATTGGAAGCGGGTTTCTTAAAGGCTCCTCACGATTATGGTTGAAGATCTCTTTACTGAGCTTCAAATAAAAATATTAGCTTTTCGAATGAGATTTGGATGTGTGGTTTTGACCATATTTGTCCTTTACAACACTTAATGCAACTGGAAAATGTCCTGTGCTTAGATGATTTTGCTTAGATTTCCTTTGAGGTGGGGATGTGCAAGCTTTCAGAGACGGTATAATATACATTTTCGGTCGTTCAATCATAACTTAAAATGAGAACCTTAAGTAACCTTTTATTTCTTCGTTTGTGCTGAAATTAAGTAAATTTTAGTTCACAGCATTCTCTAAAGTACTGGTCGGATTTTTTTCTCCACAAAAAAACTTTCCCCCGTCAATTCGGGTGTACTATCGGACAAAGTACAATCTATCTGCACTTGTCAAGTTAATTTGGACGATAGTAATTGGTAATCAGAGTGACGAGTTTCGCTTTTTCACCTTTTTTTGAACTTGTACAAAATGTTCTTTTGACACTTGATATGGTGATTTGGTTCTACGCTAGTCTCAAGAAAAAGTGCTATCGATATGCTTTAAGATCGCAAAAATTAGAAAGTTCAAATATTGGACTGTATTACCTAGAGAAGTTAGTGTCCATTCATTGTTCAGCTTCGATTATGAAACATATGTAGCACTTCCTTAACATTTCCAGAGACGTCTGTCACTATTGATTGGAATTAGAATTGGCAAATAAAAGAAGTCACTATCAGTTGGAGTGCTCATCGGTGACGTAGAGGTCGACTTACATGCAAGCCAGGGGTGTTGGTATTCAGTAATTCATCTCGTTTGCTTAAGAACTGTTCAATCGAGAGGTAGTGTAGCTCTGGTTTCTCAACTACTTCCTGTTGCGCCTTTTCTACCGATTTCTTGAGAATTGTGTTTGAGGTGCTTTCTTTCGGTGAGGCTGATCAAAGTAATCATATCGATTTGTCAGTCACTTCTATTTGTTTCCTCCGCTTGCTTGAACCACACATTGTCCGGTATATGGGTCAGTTGTTTGCTTAGTGGGATGAAATCATATTTTTTTGAAAGCTGAATTTCCGTTTTCTCATTGTTTACTGTCACAACAAACTTAATTCGAATGATTGTGGCAAGTGCATTTGTTTACAAAATTAATAAGTAGGAGAGTTAGTAGTTAGTAGTTTTACAGGTCTTGTTTATTAATATTTTCCGATGCGGATTAAGATCGGAGCTTTCAGTAGAGGTTTCAAGCAATTTCCTTGGAAGTAGATAGGTGTCGATCACGAAAAAACTAGACCTATCAGTGTCACATGAACTTTCTTCGGCAATCATTTCCACTCACATTTCCCACTTAACATGGCTCAATGTTTCCCCAGGTAAGTGAGAAGAACTGGAAATGGCCAAGAATCGGAGGGTTGTATGAAATTTTTCTCACATTTTAATCTTTAATAACAATAAAAAAATTCTATTTCTTCAAGTTTAATGTTATCCTAGAGTCCAGAAAGGGGCGAGGAAAGTGGACACGAGTGTCAGTTTGTCATTAATAGAATTCAATTACGACCTTGAGATAAATCGATTATACTTGCATACCAATTTTAGCTAAATAGGATTCACGGCCAATGTAGCAGACCTTAAACGTTTAAGATGTTATTATCTAAAGGGGGGAAATATTTGGGGTGAAAATTCTTCCTATCGTAATACTTTTATCTGCATTCAATAATATCAACTTCCTTGAAAACTAATCGATAATCCTCCCAAGGCCACTAGGTGAGGTTCCATTGAAACCGGCCTTATTTAGAGGAAAGATGTTCAATTTTCACTTTTTTAATGGGCTCGCAATCTGCCACTCCTAATGTGTTCACTAGAATTCCGGACTGTGGGTAGCTTATCCCATCTCTTCTCGTAGTCTCTGACTTTGCGAGTGTGCATATAGGATATATATTAGGCTAAAATTAGTCATACTATTCAATATCAGATATTTGCATATCTCTGGAATTATAACAGGTGTTAAAATTGGATAGAAGAGACTAGGCTTAGTACTGTTGTTATTATTACCTTTTAGTTGGAAATTTAATAGGCTGGCTTCAACATTACCTCTCTGTGAACGCATGGGGTCAGTACGGAAAGGTGGTAGGTCATCACTTTTCGCGTTCGTTCTTCCCTCGGCAAGCTTACTGCTTTGATTAGATTAGTTTCTAATATTGTGATTGGAAAATAGAATGCCCTTATTATATCAGTTCATTTTCACGAAAATGGTAACCATTAAGCTCGGCTATACAAGCCTTACCTCATTTTTAACCTTAATTAAGTTTAAATTATCAGCGAAAAACTTTGCACCTCTAATTTCGTTCCAGACTTAAATTGGACTTAGAGGTGCGTAATTTTCATTATTAATTAAGTTAGAGATGATTAGTTTGAGTAAGAGTGAAGGCTTCCGTTAATTTCGAGTATTGATGGACGACGCATTTTTTTCGGTAGTTCGGGCCACTCAGAGAAATCCAGTGTTTATCTGAAAATTCAAAAGTTCCTTACAATTTGTTTCCAAATTAAAATCTCATTACGATGATATTGTTTTAGAGAGACTTCTCGATGCTATTGCTCTTGTCAAGGTAAGCTCTGAGTATGATAAGCTTGAAAAATAGAAATGAGGATGTGGCGTGTATTTGTCAAACTATATCGGCCGGTTGGAATTTACCTTAAATTCATACTTCGATACTGTTGAAATATTCTGAAATTTGTTGCATCGTACGCAGTGTTGCGTAGATCAGACTAAGCGTGACCTTAAATGTGATAAATTTCCGCTTAGAATCAGTTAAAGTTATTGATTAGTTGCGAATTAATCACTCTGTTCGTCTGGGTTAACCCGAACGCACACAGGTTTCCTTTTTTGGCGTTCTATTTACTTCTAATTATCGCATCATGGTAAAGTTACCAATTTAAATTGCTGTGGAATTTTGTAATTTAAAGTATAAACGCAAGGCTTAACGATGGTATACTAGCCTGAAGCCAAGAGATCTAAACCCATATTCTATTTTCTGGCTGTTCGCTGATGGAAATCGAATCCGAGTCCTCTGATATTGGAGTCGAGCATGCTAATCGTTGCGCATTGAGTGACTAACAATTAAAACTTCTTGTCTTTCAAAGTAGGCGCCGATTTCAAATCGCAAAAGAATTTCCCCCAAAAGTAGTGCGTATCTGAAATTTTATGTTTTGTCTGGGGTTGGCGTTCCTTTTATCTTCCTTAATACCGACCTAAGGTAAATAAATAAGGCTAAATGTTGGAATGGATATCGATTAGTGGGAAAATTTGGGTTACGCAACGTCCAGCATTTCAGGCCTTGCTTGTAAAAATTAAATCAAATTGATCTAAAAACTAAGTTCGTGCTCAACTTTTCCAAAGGTTGTTTATTTCGTTCCATACTAATGATTTTAGTATACGAAATTATGCATATTACTTGTAATCTTTGATACACCTTAAGCTCTAATTAGGGATAAATTAGCAGGCTAAATACTCTCACAGGTGCTTAAATTGTCAAACGCGCCTCCACTACGAAGGCCAATCGCAGTATCGATTTATCGATTTTTTGCAGCAAATAAATAGGGGAAAAATCACTGGTGGATTTTAATAGTAATAATTGCGTAAATTAGAATGTTTAACGCGGTATTGATTTATAGATTCATTTTTTTAGGGTTTGGTTAGCTAAAGATAGGATCGTTGAAAAAGTGGCCAGTGGTTGACTGCGAAACATTCGAACCTTGTTTTATCCTATTAATAAGGAAATTTATGACTGCCAGCATCGATCTGGGTGCGTACTTCCCCATATTTATGCCCGAACAACTTGTTTTTCGAACTTCAGATTCTGTCACTAATTGGCTTTCTTAAATATTTAAACACTTGGGGTTCGTTTAAATGGTTACTTTCTAGGCACCCTGTGTGCACAGTCTCGGCAATATATGAAATGGTTGTCGGTATGTATTTTTATCACTGAATGCTTTGTGGAAAAAGGTGTACCTCTAGCGGCATTTAAACCAGTGGTGATTTTAGATTAATTCAGATAAAATGGAAGAAATCTGTTTTACTCTCGAAATTCGTGCTTAGATATGGACTTTTCTATCTGATTTCGATAATTCCACCACTTTGTTGACTAAATTTTCCCTATCAAAAGCAATAGTTCCCAAATTTTCCTAATAGAAGTTTTTTTTACACTTTTCTGCAATTTAGCTTTTGGTCAGTGTAGTTGGTTTTTCCATTCATTTAAAGTGAGCTGGTAAGCATCTGAATCTCTTTACGCCGGCTCTATCAACTTACGCCATTTGCGCACCTTATTAGATTTGCTCAGGTTTAATTAACAATCGATTTTCTGCAGGTGGCCCATTATTTTATTGAGGTAGCTTGAACATCTGCTTTTAAAGTGCCCTGGAGTAGTTGTTATGTTATAACTGTTCAAATTTTATTAGTCGATAGAGGGGTTGCGTTAGCTTTCAAATCTGATTGGTCAATTAAAGTATACTTGAACTATCGATTATTCCCATCACTTAAATAATCTTTTGTCTGCGTATCAGAATGATGCCCTCTAGTCAACATAATTCTGTTTGCAGTAAGTTTTGCTTTACTTGAAATACTTTTATTTCATACTTAATTTCTCTTATTTACTTTCACCTCTTAAATATTCAATAATGTGAGTACTAATCCTTGCCTTTTCAGTCCCACTTGTGGTGCCAGCGACTCCTCTAGACCTTGACTAAGGAGACAGATCATTATTAACCCACTCAAATTTGATTAGATCCTAAGTTTATTTACAAATTAGTTTATATTATTCATTGCCTGCCTGGGTAGTTAGTAATGTGGTGGTGAGAAGTCTTCATTTCCAGGTTTTAACCAATAGGAAACAGTGTTCGAAGCATCTGTCTTCCGAGGAGCATTTTAGCAAAATTTCCGAGATCTCATTCAGAGGATTGTGGGATTTTGATCATGAATTATATCTGGTTTCGGAAAAAGTAGATTTTTGGAGCTCGATGTTTATTTTCTTGATCCTCCTAAGATTTTCCTGGGGGGCGAGTTTTTGAGAGCTTTCAGCAGCATTTATCTCCTTTCTCTAAATCAAGGGTTATGAAGTAATTTCCTAATGAATTTGGAAAGATTTTGAATTTACCATCTGTATCTTTTTATTTGAGATCTATTTCTCTCTCTTGGCGTTAAAAAAACGATTTTTGTTTTTCTTCAGAGTTCGTTTATTTGTTTCTTTAATGAATTCGATTATTAGTACTCTTGGCTGGGCATGGTTTGAGAAAGTTCCTTTAAGAGTGTAATAAAATTCTTGCTTGTTTTCCGTAAGGTCAACTTAATTTAAATTACCTCGGTGTCTTACATAATTGGTGACCCAAAAGTGGCCTTTATCATATATATGGAATGAGTTTCACTCACTTATGCATTACTTTCATATTTATCGAGTTATGTATCCGTACCAGACGCATTGGATAGCTCCTGGAGAACAAAATTGTTCTCAAAACCGTAGGTTTCTCATTCCTTTTTTTGCCTCGTTTTTTGTTGTTTTACATTTTTGCTCAAGGTAGGCATTTAGGTAATCAATTAATGGCTTGTCTTCGTGTTTAAATAGACTACAAAGGTGATAAGTCTATGTTGGTCTAGTGTCTGGCTATTGTCTTCATCTTTGAATAAATGAAAATTATTTTTTGGGCCTTACTTCTTCCCTCTAGTTTACTTTCAAGTCTTAACATCTAAACACGCGAGATAGCAAAGTGGTTTGTTGGAGGATGTGGTTTTTTGGTTTGGTTGTGCAGGCGGAGTAGGAAAGAAGTTAAAAGTGAATTCGAATGTCAAAATTTTTTGTCCAATTTTAATTTTGCGTGCATTACTTGTTCAATTTCATCTTACTTCTTAAAATCCTAACGTATCAAAACTCATTTCCCATGATTTACCAAGTAGTTCAATGGATGTAATGGCCTGTCAACAAAAGTCAGAGTTGTTTTAATCTCATGGTCGTTTGGGTGTCTCCCCCCTCCCCCCTCCCACATTTAAAGGCGGGCTGAGATGTCCCCTGTCAACTTTGCCTTTTGATCTAACGAGTGGTTTTGTACTCAGATTCGGATGTGCCTTTTACCTTAGACTCCTTCGAAAACTGACTGGCTTTCGCTAGACCCCACCCTTTATCACGTTATAATTATTCCACCGTTTCGACGTGCCACCTAAATGGTGATGCACCCTATAATAAGCTCTACACTCATCATTTTTTGGCGAATACTTAAAATAGACCTAGTTTGGTATTGTGAAATTTGAATGTGTGAAATTAATTTTAATCGTGTTATCGTAAAGAGTAGATTTTTGGAGCTCGATGTTTATTTTCTTGATCCTCCTAGAATTTTTCTTGGGGCGAGTTTTTGAGAGCTTTCATCAGCATTTATTCCCTTTCTCTAAGTCAAGGGTTATGAAGTAATTTCCTAATGAATTTGGAAAGATTTTGAATTCACCATCTGTATCTTTTTATTTGAGATCTATTTCTCTCTTGGCGTTAAAAAACGATTTTTGTTTTTCTTCAGAGTTCGTTTATTTGTTTCTTTAATGAATTCGATTATTAGTACTCTTGGCTGGGCATGGTTTGAGAAAGTTCCTTTTAGAGTGTAATAAAATTCTTGCTTGTTTTCGGTAAGGTCAACTTAATTTAAATTACCTCGGTGTCTTAGATAATTGGTGACCCAAAAGTGGCCTTTATCATATATATGGAATGAGTTTCACTCACTTATGCATTACTTTCATATTTATCGAGTTATGTATCCGTACCAGACGCATTGGATAGCTCCTGGAGAACAAAATTGTTCTCAAAACCGTAGGTTTCTCATTCCTTCTTTTGCCTCGTTGTTTGTTGTTTTACATTTTTGCTCAAGGTAGGCATTTAGGTAATCAATTAATGGCTTGTCTTCGTGTTTAAATAGACTACAAAGGTGATAAGTCTATGTTGGTCTAGTGTCTGGTTAATTTTATTCGTATCTCTTCGCTAGGATGCACACGAATTTTGGTCATTTCTTGTCGGGAAATTTATGTCACTCTAGTTAACGTTTTTATGTTGGTAGTTAATAATTGATTAGATTTTCTCCTACAATTTTCCTCTGGCCTAAATTTAACGCAGAGTTGACCAGTTTGCGAGTTCTTTTATTTAGATTTTTTAAGTTTTAGCTCTTCGGACTGGATTACCCCCCCCCCCCTCCTCCCTCTCTTTACTTTTTTAATTTTAATTCATTTTCATTTCCATTACCTCGTTTCATCTTCGAAGTTATTTGATTGTTGGTAACTGTCGACGACATAATCGATTGAGTTAATAGTCACAATTTCAACACTCATCAACGCGAGCATTAAGTGAATGAGATGACTAGCCATTGTGGTTAATTAAGAGGCCCCCCTCTATGCCCACTCTCTTCCAGAGAATTCGCATTTTAGTGAAAACTCCTGGGTAACCTCCCCAACTAAAGCACTGCTATTTCAAAAGCTCAAGGTCTTGTAGGGTGTAGTAAAGCCTATTCAGTATTTTTGTTTTTTTTGAGCTTTTAGCTGTGCTATTCTCAGTGGATGTCTTGAAGTTGATGTCTTTAAGGGGAGAGTGTTTAAAATCTGAACTGAGAAGCATTGCTTACTCCTCTTTTATGCGGAATTTTATGCTTCTCATTTCTACGCCAGTATTTGGTAGTATAATAAAATATCGCTGCGTTCAATTCCAGTAACTGTGTCTAATTATAATCATTATCAACCTTTTAATGTCGCGCATATTTTGGGCTTTATGAGTTTTCTCAAATTCTGCCTGGAGATTAGTGCGTAATAATCTAAATACTTAGATGAATATACCGTGTGTGGAGAATTATTTCATTCGGTATTATTTCAATTCATGCTTTCTGGCGTATAAAATTTGCTTTAAGCTTCCTAAAGATGTTTGAATTTTACGCCATTCTTGTTCATTGTGAGGAACGTGCATTGTTTCCTTTGACCTGATGAGTAGTTTCTCTCGTCCTGTTGATATCCTGTGCATAGCTTCGATAAGATGATGATTTGCAGATGGTATTTTGGTAGAGGGTCGGAGTGTCAATAATGAGCCTTTTGTTCTTTTCAGATCCCTATATGCAGCATTGGAACAACGCTCCTGGTTCAGGGAATTCCAATGCAATGGTGACTCAGCAGCAGCAACAACAAATTCAACAACAGCAGCAGCCCCCACCAAACTTTGACGAGGCGGCAGCGGCGGCGGCGTTGATGACCAATGGAAATGGAAGTGGGGGTGTTGTAGTGGTATCCACTGGTGCCCAGCTGAACTCCTCTCAGGCGTTACCCCCCACTTACAACTCTCCCATGGTAGTAGGAGATAGACGTCTAATCACAGCTCCTCTCATGGGAGGAGGTGGTCCAGCTCTTCAACCCCAACCACCACAGCAACCTGGAAGTATGCCATATGTTCCACAGAGATTCCCACCTCCAGTCTATCACCATAATCCTAATATTCAACCGCCAACTCAGGTAGGTGTTTATCCCTTGTTTTTTGCTAGAACATGATAAATCATAGAGGTCGTTGCAAACGTTTATTGGGTACATAATTATTCTTTTATATGATGGAATGTATTCGTAGAACGCAGCTAATTAATAAAGATAGTGTATGGGTAACTAGCCTCCGTTAACCTATGAAATCCTCTGTGCCTAAAGTCATTTTAGCATCTCTTACCTCCGGACCAACCGAAATCGTTTCCTCTTAAAATCATAAGAAAGGAGCTTTCGTCTTCCACAACATTTTTAAATCGTTTACCAAGATCAAGTCCACAGGGTGTTTTAGTCATCCCAACGCGTTCGAAAAGTTTAACATTGGATCGGACACTCCAGTTGGATGAATGCACATGGAAACGTTCATGCGAATGATTACTAGCATGTGTATTTCAGTCAATCAGCCAAGCAAATGCTATATTCGAGGGTGTGTGTGTGCATGTGCCTGTCTACCTCTGTAGTGTTTATTACAAAAAGAGGAAAGAGGGAGAGAGAGAGAGAGAGAAAGCTGGTCGTCTGAACTTGGTACGTTGCTAAGTGGTGGTGGTGGTGTGTCGTACGACATAAACCGGTTCTCACGCTCTTCTTTTTATCTTTGCCGCCACCGGTACTCTTTGGCACTGCCCCCNCCCCCCCCCCCCCCTCCTCCTTAGCTCCCGTCTTTCCCCTCAAGTATCTATCCGCCATTTATTTCACTTCCAGCTCCTACTTTGGTCTCTTTTTGTTTTTTCGCTTTGTGTGTGTGTGTTTTAACCTCAAATTATTTATTAGAAGCACTCTGTAACACACGATCCGGATATTGCTTCTTGATGCATTAGAGTTCGGAGAATTTCGAAGTTTGCTTATCTCTCTCCCCTCCCCTGTTCGCATTTGTACTGGGGCATTAACAATATAATGACTAAGAGAGGTGGGCACTAATTGATCATAAAGGCTGCCTTTTATATCCTGCTCTCATTATTAATGTTCCCGCTCCTCTTTTGATGTCTTTTGGTTTGCTCGGTTGACAATCTCGTTTACCGCTAGAGCTCCTCAGTTTGTCATTTGATTGGATTGGAAATTCAAACTCGACCTTGAGTCATTTGCGTCATTGTCTTGCCTCACAGCTTCGAAATGAGCAGATTTCGTGTTCTGGTATTCTTAGCGCCCTTGCGGAGAGGGTACAGGGGGGAGCATTCCATTTTGTTCCTTGTTGTCTACGCTTTAATTCACTCTTCGAAAAATAATGCTTCTACTAAATTCCTTTGGTTTGTTCCCCTTGTTGTTGTTTAGGAGAAGGTGGATCTGCTTATACCAGCAGGCGCAATAACGAGCAATAAATGTCAAATCACAGGTCAATGGTTCAATGCGTATCAACTCACTCAGTGAATCTGGTTAAGATAGGAATGACCGAGCTCCAGTTTCTCATCGCACGGACTCCACTCAGGGTGGATATCGTGCTTCAACTTACTTTAGGATCGTAATTCTAGCTCTGGAATATTTTGGTTGTATTAATTAGGAGTTTCTAAATCCCAATAGCCCCCAATAATTTTGTTCACTTTCTAAGTTGACTGTTAGGTAAAAATTTTCTTCAATTTTGACTTGAGATTTGGTATGTTGTTAAAAACATCAACCAATTGGCTTTGACTGTCACACCAAACAAAGAATGCGAACAATGCCTCAAATGTGGGTTCAGGTCCATTAATTTGGGAGCTATGGCATTTAGTATATATCCATTAGATTCTAAAAAACTGAATTCCGAATTCAAGTATTACAAGATTCTTGATTCTGCTATCTCTGTTTTCCACGAATCTTTTCCTGCTGTTTTATGTTTGATTATTCCACTGTTCCTCAGGTTTGAATGTTTGAATGTAAAATAGTAATTACGCATGCACATCTTCAGTACTTTTAAATTGTCTGATGCAATTTGATTGACTGTTAGGCTTGATAATTACAAGTATCCATCAATTATGTAAGCACGTGAGTGCATGCATCCGCTGCGTATACCCTGGTCGCTGAAATGCAATTCAGTAGTTTGGTCTATACAGACGTCATTTCCTGGTTAAAAGAGGCGATTGTTGTGATGGGCCAAAGGTTTATTTCTTCACGAATAATATGGGGAGTCCATACTTTCATTTTGACTCCAATTACCGCTTTTTGAAGTACAGATTACTGAATCTTCCACATTGTGGATATAATCGAATCCGATAGTGCATATCTCGCTATCTTAATGTCCCCATTCCCCGTTTGATCATAGTGCAAACGGGCTACTAAAATGTAATTTAGAGGGTGAGCACTATTCATGTATATTACCAGAATTTAGTAGTGTGTGTGTGTGTGTCCTGAACATGTTTAATCCAATAGCATGAGAGTGTGTGTGCGTGCGTGTGTGTGTGTGTGTGTGTTTATACGTACGCGCAGGACTACCGCTGAAGCCGCCAGCCACCAACGCTATGCAACTGAGTTTAGAGGAGGCATGAGGAAAGGAACTAAATGATGTGGATAGCTAGCCAGCTAGCTAGCGAATCTGCTCTTCTTTTCTTAGTATTTGTATGTGTGTGCGTGTGGGTGTGGGTGTGCACTTTGCTACTTCTTCATAGAGAGTCGTGTTAAAATTTCCACACATTTTGTTCTCTCAAACTTGCACTCGTCTTTACAATAGTTGCATCGGCGATTTTATTTTTACCTTTCCCATTCATATTCTTGCATGCGGATGTGCACGTCTAATTAGGAGATCTTCCAAGTGCTATTTAATTACCCGTCTTACTTCGCCTCGTTTTATTGCTTTAGTGTTTTGTGATATTACTACTAATTGAGTTTCCTATTATTTTTGAGAAGAAAAGAAGGCTATCTTGTTCATATCCTGCTCTGATCTGCTAAGGCTTTCGACCTGCTCTCTGTCATTATAGCTAGTATTTAGCAACCGTGCGAATGGCGAAGTCCAACCCTAGTTCCTATTAAAAGCCCCAAAACATTAAATAAATACTCCCGAATTACCTTACTATCAGTTTATGCTTTCCTCAGAATGAGTTCCACAGACTGCGTGAATTTGACGCTTATGCTATTCTGCTTTGTTTTAAGCCAATCTTGGTGTAAACGAGGAGTCTTAGTTGAATATCCACCATGTGCTATGCAAAATCATGTTGACTGGTATTATCCTGCGATGGATATGTCTTGACATCGGCGATTTGAATTATTTCATTGGCCTTCGGAGATAAATGTTGAAATTTAAGCTTTGAAACATTTAAAATTGAAGCAGTGACTTATTCACAATTTTGAAACGGTGGATAAACTGAATTGGAGAATCAAACTAATTAGCACTCCGATCGATGGCCCAACTCACTCCTTACTGTACTACTAATCATTATTGTACTGTCTATCGTGCTTAAATGGTTTCGCACGTCTGATATCGATTTAAAACCGTGAAAATTTTCAAATCATTCTAGTCACAAAACGTATAAGTCCCAATTTTCTTAAGGACGATGCAAAGAAATTTTCCACTTGAACAGATCAATTCTCAACAATTTAGAGCTGATAGAGTTTTGAGAATGAGTTATGTGTAGTATCCAAATTCTGCTGTTATTTTTCCTCTACAACCGGACCTTGAGGTCTTATAAAATCAACTAATATCACCTCTTTGATCAATTATACGGTAGTTATTTTCCACTTTATGTCTAACTGTGATAAGTTCCTCAGATTACTTTGATTGGGCGTTGTTACGTGTACTTTCGGATTGAATGGCATAACTTCGATTTCAACCAATCAGCAATAGGCCTCGAATCACAAATCAAGCGCTCCTGTGAAGTTGCGCAAAACAAAGAGTGCACTTTTGCTTTACGATTTTGTTATCAATTTGACTTTTTTGCAATTATCTTATTATTGGTAAAAGTATGCTTCAAGGGTCATCAAGATATGAAAAAACTGTGAGGATTCTCTCTTAGAGTTTACACAAAGAACTACCATAGGGTATGCAGGTACGTTGTCAGAGCTGAAAACGATATATAGGCCCTAGCATATGACACAGCAAGTCATTGACCATTAACTCACGTTTACAGCGTATTCAGGAAACAATTTGCAAAATAATCTTTGGTTTTTTGCCTAATGTTTTGAAGATGTTAACGCACACTACGCTTCCTTTCTATGTTCAAACATTTTTTAATCCATACGCCCAATGGCGACGAGAATGGTTGGCTTCAATTCATCTAATTCATGAAAGCGAATAATCGTGGCACCTAAATTATTCACGATGGCCTTCAAAATAAGGAGGTTATGGCCATGGCTAAATGCTCTCTAGGCGCTGGAAGCATTGATTTCCTCGAAAATGTGCTCCAAAAGAAGATGTTGGAGCACATTGCCATCTGAATCCTGGCTTTGTAGGCACCCTTAATCGAATGTTTCAGTCTACTATGAAACGAGCGCTTAGTGATGATGATGATTCGCTACTACTAATTCGAACTTTATCTATGGTAACCTCTTTCGCTCAAGAAGCCCCGAAAAATAGTCTGACAAAGCTAAGAAGCTTCGGATCAAAATGAAATTTCCTTCTGGTGCTCAAACATTCTAGTTTTGTTCCAATTAAAAAAAAACATACCAAGCGAAACACGTAACTAGTAGAATAACAGATGGTCTTGGGTAAGGGGGGGGGGTGTGGGGCCAACAATAGGCCATATCTATGCCGACGGTATGTTTCGCGGCCTCCTGCCACCACACCTTAGTGAAAAGCCATGGTTGGATTGAGGCTGCAATGACGCTAATGGTGGTTATTTTAAGGAATACACTGTTAATGGCATAATAGCCTTGTCGAGTGAATTTCTTTTAAATCTGTCTAACTTCATTTTTTGCCATCCTTATTTTGTGCTTCTAATGAGGCTGCCAATGTTATCCCAACCACACTCTCTTTCTATACGTGTTTATAAATGTGAGTTATTGTGGCCTCCTCTAGGAATGTGCAGAACTCGAGTGCTTTGAAAGCGAATTCTCCTCAGAACCCCCCCCCCTTCACTAAGTTGAGAGACACTTTCTTTTCCATGGAGTGGGGGGAAGGGGGAGGACGGGAGGTGGAGGACCTTTTCCTGTGCTCAGACCATCCAACTGAATAATGAATGACTAAGCATAATTTTCCACCTGTAAGAAAACCATGGGAATGAAAGCGCAAACAGAGCAGGTGAAACTGAGTTCACATAAGTAATTGTTGTTGTATTCGCAAATTTATGTGTCAGATGGCAATGATGAATTGACTTTTAGCTTTGCGCCAAATGATGGTGTCCCTGTTGTAAAGATGACATGAATGAAAGCTATTTGTTGCAATTTTATCTGTATGCTTTGGGCGGACAACCAGAAAACTCTGAAATTTACACTCACTGGGTTTCCGCATTCCTTACTTTGCTCTTCCTAAATCTCCAACTCCCTCTTTGCTTAAAGAGCATATTACTATTACTCTTACTATTATATTAGTCAGTAGGCGATGTGACTAGCAAAATTTAATAATTGAACGCCATTCGTGCCATCATTTACTATAAGTTGGCAATTCGTTTTTTCTTTATAGACGCCAACATCTGGTTACATGCCAATGCCTCATCAAGATCCTGCTTCCATGAACCCGAACTTCGTCCCCGGTGCTGGTCCCCCACCAACTATGATGAACGGGGGACAGAGGATGTACGCCCCAGGTCTGGCCCCTGTTAATGGTCCACGACCGGCAATTCGAGCACCGCCTCCGGGAATGAATTTCGGATACTACCCATTTCCCGACGGCCAACAACAACCAATGGCACACATGTGTCCCCCACCAGGAGGGTTTCAACAAATGCCACCCATTGCCACCGCTCCTGGGCTCCATATCCATCCTGGCGGTGGGGGTGATCTCCAGTCACAGCAGCCCCAACCTGGTCCCAGTACTGGAAGGAGAAATAATGCCACCGATGCAAATGGAGGTGCCACCGCTACTACTAGGAAGAGGAAGCCTAAAACCACTAGGGTGAGTGTGTGGTAATCTGGTTTTTAGCTTCAACGAATCATTCTGTACCTAGTTACCTAGTCGGTATTTCACTCAAATTAAGTTGTATTTACTGCCGATTTTCTCCGTGCTTGCAATGACTATATATATATATATATATATATATATATATATATATATATATATATATATATATATATATAAAAGCTTGATGTCAGCGAAGAGGTCGTCCCTGTAGTTAGTCCTCTTATATTGAAACTTCGTTCAAGCTCCTCATTACTTATACTAACCAGAATTTGGTACAAGTTTACATGACCTTGATGAATAAATCAAGATGCCAAGAAAGTCCTTGGTGTGAGTTGTCTGTCACGGTAGGAGCGTCAGTCCAACGTCTCCTCCCATTTCCTAAGAATATTTAGCCCAACTCACAGAGGGAGGGAGGGAGAGAGAGTCAAGCGGTAATTGATTTTAGTCGACGTTTCTGGACACTTGAAGAGATTAGTCATTTAAAATAAATAAATTTGATAAAACAATCGCCAATCAGAATGCGAGATTTATGTGCGAATTTACGGCACGAGTCTATGCAGTTGAACTAGCACATGCGTGCTATGTATTTTTCAATTTGATTTATCTAAGTACTCACAAATGAAGTAATTAGATTAAGAGTCCCGTAGACTTCCGAATCCAGATCTTAGGAAAGAGTTATCTATAAAATCAACTATTCCAATCTTAACTTCACACAAACGGAAGGGGCGTTTAAGTGGCTGAATTAAGCAGATCAATTCCTTTTGTATCGTTAGGGGCATGTTGCGGTGTCCTGACAACTTTTGGTGCAATTAAGGTTATCCCCCACCTAAGTATCTAGTTCCCCCCCCCCGTTATAACTCTAAAATTGTAATTTTTACTTAGAAATTGGCCAACTAAAAAGTGTGAACAGAATCATACTTCCTCAAGTTTATTCGCTTATGTGTTACCCCTATTATTATTATTATTATTATTATTGTCTTTACCAATTATTATAACTACAAGCAACAATTAAAACCTAACCACACAAGTCTGGATTCTGATTCCCGTTGGATTGATGGGAATGGATTTTATGCGGTCTTATCCAGGGCGCTCTTTTGGCTGGTCATTTCGGTTGGCTTGTCCGCGTTGATTATGGTTGATCCTGTGGTCTCTGATTTATGCCGGCGACCAAGATTGTGCGGGCAATATTGACATTGGAATGACGTTGATGTCAGGAGTCAGCTGAACTTGCAGCCGAAATTGAACTTGAATGTCAGATGTCATGATTCAAATGGTTAATGGAGGACCATTCCAAGCGGGGGGGGGGTTGGGGAAGAAGTCCTTGTTGCCATTCTTAAGTTAGAGGCGACCTTGATCCTTTAAACTCCATCGATCTTAGATGTACGCTTTCTTCCACCAAGAGGGTATCTTTGTACTGGCATTAAGGAAGTTCACACACGATTCAAGTATATGCATTTAAAACTCAATATTTCGTACTGTTTTTTTTCATCTCCAAATTAATGCTGAATTGCTCTCGGAAAATCGCAAAGCATATATAGGTTTTGGCTATAAAAGGGCACTGATTGCAAATTGAACCTCCGTGCTTGCACGCTCACGGTTCAGTCTTTGCAGCCACAAAGTGGTTTACCAAGGTCATAAACCTAAAACCTGATTTAGCCCTTCACATAACTTCACGCGTCCACACATGGTGGTTTGTCACTCGTGCCCCCAGGCCACCTATTTCCTACCCCCCCCCCTCCCTCTTCGATTATCCAACTCTTGTCCTCTGATTTGGAGAAGGTCTACTATTTCCTGTTGGTTATTTTTTCAAAAAAATAATCATTAGATGCCATTAAATGGTCATGTTTGGATTCTTAAAGCAACTCGTCTACTGCAATTGGAGCTATAATTAAAGCTAAATTTATTGCCCTCTCTTGTCTGGAATCTCCCTCTTTCACTTCGCTGGGGGATATGTAGCTCTTTGTTCAAATCGCATCACTGTTAAAAAGCACCTTTTGGATTTTATAGGAGCTCGTTAAATAAGAGTACTTAAATATTTGAATTGGGTTTGTGACCGATTTTTTGTTGTTGAATACATTTTCTTGAAAATAGGGGTCATTCCAAATCATTACACTTGCGTTTTAACTATTCAAATTTGCCAGATTTACTGTGGATCTCATGTTTTCATTAGTATAACTTATTTTCTTCTAAATTCTCTCATCATCCTTTTTTTTCAACAAATTTGTCAGGGCCCATATTCTAACTTGTTTTTTTTTGTCATCTTTCACTGGCCTCTCCCAGCGTGGTCCTATCGTACTCCATCAGTTAGACATGGATTTTTTTTCTCATTTTAGGCCCGATCAACACAACCCCGTGGTGGTGCTGGTGGCAATGGCCGAGGAGGTGCAAATGCTTCGAATAGGGCTGTTGGCAATCCTTCCGTTGCCATGGGAGGTGGTTCAATGCCTCCTATGGGGGCAGTTGGGGGTCCTACAATGGTCACCTCTCAAGCACCTCCTCCACAAATGATAGGTGGTCCTGGATTGGTTGGTGGTGTTCCGCCTCAATCAGGCCCTCCTCAGCCTTGGCCTAACTCCTTTCCTCGATCCCCTAACCAGCCCAATCCTAACATAATGACCAATGGATCGGGTATGGATCCTATGAACCCTCTCCAACCGCCTACTGTTTCCACGCAGCAACAACAGCATACTATGGCAACACAGCAGTTACCTGCAGGGACTCCCCATTATGGACCAACTCCTCATCAAAGAGGTGGGGTCATGACGCAACAGCACCAGCAACAACAACCTGCTCCCCCTCAACCCTTAGGAATCATCCAGCAACAGCAGCCACAACAAACGCCTCAGCAACAGCAACAACGACAGCAACAACAACAGCAGCAACAGCAACAACAACGACAACTAATACGAATACGGAAGCCACTGAAGATATATCCTGTTCCAGACAGTAAGAAATTATTGAATTATTAAGTAGTGGGCTCTTTCATGCTGTTTTAATACGAGGAAGTATATTTTCTATGGCGATGTCTTCTGTCCAACGACTTTAATCTAGAGATAAACATTACCGCATTATTGATGTTTGAAGATAAAATACTCTCCCGAACTGCTAACAACTTTGCGCAGAATAACTACGACTCAAAGATCAACTGTGCTAATCGTTTTTCCCGTTATTAACTCTACGACCATGAACTTTAATGATATTTGCCAGATTTTTGTTCCTAAAGTCTTGGTTCAAGATACTCGAATGAGAAATAGTCATCGCGGATCGAAAACGAACTAGCAAGTTTAATCTTAGAAAGCCATCCAAATCAGGGAAATAACGAAATAGAGAAGGTGAAAGTATTTATATCAAATGGCAGGCGTTTTGATGGTTATCATTAGCCCTTTAGTTGACTTCGGGCTTCACAGAGGGGAAGGAACATCAAAGTGAAAAGAATTCGAGATGGTGGGGAGGGAACAGAAGAGTGTTCCAAAGACGAAGGTAGAAAGGTAGAAAAGAGGTGAAGGTACGGTGAAGTAGTCGAATATGGCATACAGTGGGGTCATGGCAGTTTGAAGTCAGAAGTCAACTGCCGGTTAATTGACCTTTTTTGCCGTATGAGTATACATTACCCAGGGTGCACCACGTGGAGGTAAGTCTATCGCGCACCCCGAGAAGGTGAAAGTAAGGGATTCCAGATTCAAGCATGACATTAGACTCTGAACTGCTTTTTCTGATTGTGCTTTGAAAAATTATCCTAGAAGAAGTATACCTTTTTCATTCTGGACATTTCTAATCTTAATCACTTTTCCCCCTATCTCGTTATAGCCGAAAAATTGGCATATCTAA